GTATGGGGGTAGTATGCGTTACATCCGGTAGTATTTATTTTTTGCAGGCTTGTTCATGATGTTGGCCCAATGAATGATCCAAGTTTGTGACCTCGAGCACCAAACGCAACTTTGTCAAAAATCGAAAAAATCGTAATTTTTTCAAATTTTGGCGATTAAAACCCTGAAGGACTAGTTTTTTGAATAATCTCTCAGGACGTTTTTAAAGCAGATCAAATTTGCTACAATATGATACAAGAACTGTCTCTGTAGACTCAATAGTTTTCGAGATTAAGCCTTTCGAAGTTTATAATTTTTTCAGAACTTCGCAATTTTTCGCAATGTTTTAGGTGTCACTCGAATATGCTATGGCGGGATGAAGTTTCAATTACCTCCGACGGAGTTTGCTAGTACTGTTCGTGTGAAGTCACGAATGCGACCCACCTGTAGTACGTTTTCAAACTTTTTAGGCAATCTTAACCACAGGACTTTTTAGCTGGCAAGATGGCGCCTGGTTGTTGGGCCATCACATATAATATAGGTATTGGTTTTCTCTCAGGTACCTGCAACACATCGTTGCATCAGTACTTCACATTATATATTATCTTTCATCATTTTTCATTCTCATGTACAATCTCCTGACAGGTACAGTTGTGGTTGGGAGCCACACTGAACCCTCCCTCCTGGGGGTGGGTATCTACGCCACGAGGCCTCAATCCCAAAATGATTCCCAAAATGATGACCAGAGATGCAGCCCCACAACACCTCTTGCGGATGTTGAAATGGTGGAAGACTTTTGGGCAAAATACGTCGACGAATCATCACCATCCCCTGATGCGGATATGCCATCCCAATACGTCGATCCAGATCCAGACGAACCTGAACCGGGACCTTCCAAGAGGGCTGAATTAATCTAATTTTTTTATCTTCAATTTTACTCCATTTCCTAACAAATAAAGTCATTAACTTTTGTTGTACTTATCTTTTCTATCTCATTGTTCGTAGCTCATCTTGAACATCCTCGTCCACACTCCTCATTTTCTTTCTCATCATCTCATCGGGACTTCGATTGTATAATCAGGGCAATGACGGCTAAATGGACTGTCTGACGAGTACTACATGACTGTCCAATCACTCAGTTCAGTGTATTCTCCACCAGAGGGGTTTACTTGCCGTCCTTTGCGGAGAAGTCATTTGTTTAGCTCTCATTCGGTTGTTTTCCAATAACATAGGTTATATTGAATTATTATTATTTTATCAAGTGTCAAAACTGTGTCACTGTCAGGTCCCTGATGTGTTCTATTGAATATCGATAAATTCCTTTACTTTTTCGGATTTTCATTCAATCAAGCATTCTTCTTTGTGTTTAGTTCTGGTAGTTTATTTATTCAGGTTTGCTAGTTGTGTCTTCATCATGTATTCACAGCCTATCGTATGAAATGAAATGTTGTAGGTACTCATATCCAGTGATAAACTCCACAGCAAGAATGGTCGAATTTTATTTTGGAAATCATTGGTAAGAATATGATTTTTCATGTACATTTTTCTGATGATTTTCAATTTCAGCCTCGATTCTACCATTAGAACACTGGTGTTAATTCTGGTGTTGAAGTTTGTGTCTACAGGCTTGAGTTTTCGCGGCCTAGAATTCAACTAGGTTGTTGGTTCCCCAGGCTGTGATCTTAATGATTTTGGAAGATACTATAGAGTGATCGGATCTACATTCAGAAAGGATCGCTTACCATAATTTTCAAGGTATGTTTAGCCTGCATTGTTGTTGCGTAGCTAGGTAGGATAGGAGTAGTATTGTTGAAAACTGTTTCATGTGAGCCTGATGGTTCAAGCCATCAATGCAACGTATTCAAACTGTGCTGTGATGATTTTGTCACAAGAAATTTAAATTAATTATTTGGCCTAAGTTTATGTACTATGTATGCCCATCTATCAATGAGATCCTGTATAGCTTTCTTGTTTTCTTGATAGAAGTATGAGATGGTATGTGAAATAAAGTAAAATGTTGTCACTGATAATAGCCCACTAACTATAGCTTCCCCAAGTAGATCTAAAAAGATGAAAAGAGTGCAAACTCAACATTTGAAATGATATAACTATTTCTGTCTCCACAAAGTTTTGAAAATGGTTGAAAAATATGGATTGATAGATAGATGATATGTATAGAAAGCATTTATTCAAGTAATATAATAATTTTATTCCATAGACAGTCACCAAAATAAACAATTTCTTTTTCCATTAAGTTAGCTGATGATGAGCTTATATATTTGAACTCAAAATATGCTTCTATTCTGCTGATTTCTGAACAGATAATAGAAATTGTGGGATACACAATAATATATCATCTTCCTCTTTTATTTCCAGTGTCCAAAGGATCTCCAGGTAACCTAGCTTCATTCTCCAAAGTCAAGATCCCATATCCAAGCCGTTTTATATTCATTGTGTTGCCATCCCCAGAACCTATAAAGAAATGTTGCTATAGAACATTTAATGATTTTGAAGCTGGCATAGTTCTATCAATTTTGCAATACAATTTATCTGTATATCTGATATGAAATATATAAGTATGAAATGATAAATTGATATTTAATTTGCTATTCATGGAGATACCTGATATTGTAGTTAAAATGCCTGATTATTTTTCTGAACCCTCACCTAATTAAACAACTGTTCACAAAGCTCACCTTATAGTAAATATTCTAGTTATGCATAGATAGCATCATCAGAATAAGGAATAGGTACGCATGATTTTTTGTTTAATCGAAATTATATTCATTCTTTCTTATAATAACATTGGATATCATTCATTAATCTCAAATTTGCTTGTGACTCTAAATAATTTCATTTAAATGAGGCTAAATATGAAGTCACAGGAAAACGGGTTAGTGGCCATCACTAATATTATGACGTCATAGTATTAGGCCGCACAGCCATAGACTAGCGCGACAGAATGACAAGATTCAGATTGAAAAAAAAAGAAGAAGAAGAGGTAGGAGAAGAAAACAGTTTTAAACGCCAGAAATTTGAAATTTGAAAATGGAAAATGATGTTTATACCAAATACTGTTTAGTGCCGCAAAGTCTTCCATCAACAAAAGTATCACCAGGAAAAATATCCCTTTCATTGCCAGTGGGATCGAGTGATAAAAATAAAGAGAAAAGAAAATTATGGTTGCAAGCCATAAATAGAAATGATTTATCCGAGAAAACCAGAGGATTTGTTTGTGAAGACCATTTCGAAGTGAGTATACGTTCAAGTATGTCCTAGTGAAACCCATTATATATCAATGATTATGTTCCTCATGTTATTAGGAGAATAATATAATATGTGATTTCGTTTTCAGCTTGAAGAAGATATGGAAAACTATTTGAGATATAAATTGATAGGTGGTAATATATATTTGAAACAACATGCAAAAAGAAGTCCTGTTTGATCATTCTTATTGTAGATATTTGCTTATTATTCAGTTATTATTATTCAGAATATTGAGATCATATAATTGAGATAGATACTACAAGCTCAGATAATCATAACCTCACTTTCTCTTCTTATATTATTTTCAATCTTTCGGACATGAATGTTTGACATGACAAATAAAAACAGCCACATCCAGTCGGAAATCATCGCTGCAGTTCGGCTGTTGGTCGGAAAGTTGCAAATATTATGATTTTCAATCAGAAATTATTAAATATTCGGTGCTTAATAATGTTTTTCGGATGTATAATTCGACATCTATACATATGAGTAATGGAACAAAAATATATTCCAGTGTAAAATTTTCACACGCGTATACCCTATTGAATGTCTCCAGTCATCATTCAATCAAACCTCATGAAGAGCTGTTTCAACATTGTGTTGAGAAAATTCAGTATCTTCCTGAAAATACAAATTGAGAAATATCACTTGAGATCACAGATTTTGTGAAACAATATGAAATGTTGCAGTACATTTCACTTTGAGAATACAGCAGTATCTGGTTATTAGGGCTACCATGGCTCTTATTAGGCAGTTAAAAATTCAATCAATGAAATAATTGAACATGTCCTTACCTATTCACGAATTGACGAAGATGATTTCCACTTGAATTGCATTATTATTTATGCATATAATAGCGTTATTTGGCATGAACACTCCTAACCAGTTCATTTTGTTGGCCTTTTCACAGTTTTACTTGGTATCTCGAACAAAGCTCTCCAATCTCGAGTGACAATAAGTGACAGGCTGACAGTGAGAAAATTTGTCAACAAATAATGCAGGATCATGAATGCAGGTTATGTTGAATAGCTCATTTGACACAGGAAATAGATGACGCCACTTGCCGTCCCTTCCAAATTTCATTACAGGGCGATTTGGCGATTTTCGCTGAATGAACAGTCTTGTATAACCCGTCAGACAGTCCATTTAGCCGTCATTGCCATCAGGGTAAAAATTCAATCAGAACGACAGGATTGCAAAAAATTTCGAAGTTCGAAAAAAATGATAAACTTTGAAAGGTTCAATCTTGGAGAATAATGAGTCTACAGAGACAGTTTTTATATCATATTGTAGCAAATTTGGTCTACTTTAAAAACGTTCTGAAAGAGTTTTTCTCAAAAACTAGTCCTTTAGAGTTATGATCGCCAAAAACTGGAAAAAAACGATTTTTTCGCAGTTTTATCGATTTTTGACAAAGTTGCGTTCGGCGCTAAAGGTCACAAACTTGGATTATTCATAAGGTCAACATCATGAACAAATCTGAAAAAAATCAGAATTACCGGATTTGACGCATACTGGGATGTATAAAGTTACTGGATTATTACACTAATCTTAGTTACTGGATCTCCCGAAATAAGTCTAGGAAAATCAATAATGATCAATAAAAACGAATTTGTTGAATCGAGAGGTTTAATGATTCGAAGTTTCAATTTATAATCATTCTGGAGGAAGAAGAGGAAACTCTTATGTAGGTAAGTCCGAATCCACGCTCGCAGGAGGGCCGCCTCAACTTACGGTGCAGTGTCATCGTCTCCTCAAATCATAATATGATTCTGCAAATAAAAAAAAATGCCATATTGATAATAGTTCAATGACAATATTTGCTTCACCCTACCTCTGGATCAGATTTGTAGAAACATTTCTGCAGTTCGTATACTCTCTTCTCCAGGGGAGTCACCTCTAAAACAAAAAATGAGATATTAAATTAGCACATCCGCTGACTCCTGAATACGGGTATTCGAAATTTGACATGGATTAGCCGTAGTAATCTGAATTGCTTTTTCTGCAGTTCCTTCAGATCATATACAGGGTGGTCAATTGTAATTGTCCCACTCAATGGTTTCACTCCTCTTTATTATTATAATTCTAACATATTCTCGTTATTCAAAAACTTTTCTGGAAAAATTTCTCACTATTCTTTCGAATCTGGGGTAATCTAGACTAGCGAATACGTACAATAACCGAATCATGTTGCCATTGACATGTAACGATTGGGCAAACAATCTGTATAGTTTTCTTCAAATTATTCATGGCCAGCCCAGTACTACTTACGCTCTGCGCATACTCGCCAGAAAAGGAATAGCATTGTTTTTTATACAGGGTGGTCCAACGAAAACTTCAAACCCCGATTTCAGGGCTTCAAAATAAAAATATGGAATAATGCTCAGACCCTTTGATTACTGATTCGAACAGGTCTTCAAAAAAATTAACAACAAAAATAGTGAATGACGGGAAGAATAACCGCCTCGTTTGACGAATTCAAACACTTAGGTACTTCTTGCACTCGTTGCAAAAATAACAATTGTTTCCTGCTTTTTTTAGTTTCGCTGTACATATTGAAGTGTGATTTATATTTTTTTAAACCACGATATATTTTTTGAGATATTCCGTAGTTAGTCAAGGACATTTTTGCCGAAGTTTATAGAGAGAAACTTTGTTTTCACGTTCGAGTAAATTGGGCCCTCAGATAGTGCTCACCCTTGACTGGTCTTAATTTTTATTATTTCCAAATTTTTGTCTATGCAGCAAATCCTTAAATTGCAATATTTTGTACAGAATGACGTTATTGTAGATGTATACGAAAACTAACCTTCAACTTTCTCCCAACATCCTAGTACTATTTTCGGTCCTGTTTCTTTTATCTGAGGAGGGCAAAGTTCCATCATGCGATCCCAGTTTAGAGTACCATCAGGTTTAACCTGAAAATTAGAAATATTGATTCTGGTTAGAGTTTTTTGATACTGATACCATTGATTAATGTTTTTGAAATGAGAGAATTGAAGTGATAGTCACTTTTGGTAATTTAAACTTCAAGGACTTTTTCTTGCTTTCGTACAGGATCAGATACAAAAGCATCAATTTTGGAATTGGCCTCTGTGAAATAAACATATCGTGTATGAGATATCACGCTCGGAATTTGTAAAAGAGTTGGTATTATTCTTGAGATATGACTGAATCAAATAGGTCATGAATACAAATAAAAACAGGTTTTCGAAAAATGAATATTGCGAATTTGATCACACGATATAAGCAAAACCGACTACTTTGATATAATTACTTCCTACATCTTGATATTTCAAGTTTTTAGTAATAAGTTAGGTAGTTAGTGAGGTTTTCATTCAGATCGACATTGGTCAACGTATTCCAGATGACGAGAGTTTTGCGGCTTCGAATCGCACACATTATATTCAGCGTTTCCATGGAAGAGAGTTTGTTTCTCCTAAGCAGACCCAACACAATGTGCTGAGACAATTTTTTGAATCATCATGTTAGAGATGCAAACCTACATACCGAACACTGCAAGGAGAATATCTTCCGATAAGGCCTGGTTCAGTAAAAACTGCTCTAGAGCTGTCGCTTCCAAACAGGCAGCATTCCATCGATGGCAAAAAAGTCCCGGCCCTGAGACTAGAGCAGAATATGTCGAGGCTAGAGGCATACGCAATGAGACCATTCGATTATCAAAGGATGCTCATAATGCCGAAATAAGATCGAAACTTGTTGAATGTCCTAACGGATCCTGTTCATTTTGGTCCTTCGCCAAAGCTGAAGGAAAAAACTTCACTTCCAGCTCGTTTCCTCCTCTAATTAAGAAAGATGGAATACTAGCCACAACTGCCCAGGAGGAAGCCAACATTTTTGCACATTTATTTGCTGTAATTATCACTCTGGATCCATCGGAAAAACTACCTCCAAACATAACGCCAATTGACAATCATATGCCCGAGATCACCTTTCGGCAACGTACTATGAGCACCGAACATAAACAGGTTCGGTGCTATAAGGAAGATTTTATTGGGTGTCAACACCAACAAAGCTTGTGGCTCCGACGGAATCCCACCGATTGTCCTCAAGGACTGTGCTCCTGAACTAACAAATGTTCTCTGCAAGTTGTTCAACTACTCTTACGAATTGGGGATATTCACTTTCAACTGGAAAATTACAAGAGTACAACCAGTTCCTAAAAAACGCAAAAAGACCCTACCTAGCAACTACAGACCGATCGCACTGCCATCAAATATCATAGAGAAAGCTATCAACATCGAGCTCATGAAATACCTTGAACATTCAGGTATTATCAACGATAAGCAATATGGCTTTCGTCATCAGAGATCAACTGATGACCTGCTCGCTTACGTCTCACATATATGGCAGCAATCTGTTGGGAAATATGTTGAAAACTCAGCTGTGGCACTTCATATCCCCAAGGCATTCGATCGAGTCTGGCACCACGGACTCCTCGCCAAGCTTTCATCTCATGGCTTGCCCCCCCAGCTATGTTCTCTGCTAGCTAGTTTTCACTCACTCAGGTCTCTTCATGTAGTGGTCGACGGAGTTCCATCTGACTCTCTCATCCTTAATGCTGGTGTTCCGCAAGGATCAATTCTAGCACCAATACTATTTCTACTCCATATCATCGATTGGTTGGAAGCAACTCAATGTCCAGTACACAGCTTCGCGGATGATAGAACCCTCCATACCGCCTTCTCTTCCAGGGCTCAAACACCAGCCAGGCAAATCAGAAACGAACGAGGGAGAAATGTTGACAACATAAATATGGACTTGGCAACAATTCTCGAATATGGATCTGATAACTTGGTAGATATCAATGCAAACAAAACACGAGCAAGCCTGTTTTCAAGAAATGCCAATCTCACTGTGTCCAACATGAGCTTGTGAGGAGTAACCATACCTTTGAAGACATCCATTTCGATTCCTTGGTATTACTATCAGCAATAACCTTCCTGGCGAAAATCACGTGAGATCAATTGCTAAAAGTGCATATCAAAAACGTGGTTCTCTGTTTCGGGCCAGGAGCAATTCCACTTCCAGTCAGCTGCTTATGAGCTATTAGGCACAGATTCGACCTGTCCTGGAAAACTCTTTCCATATTTGGAATGCAGCACCCAAACATACCCTATAAACTGTTGGATTTTGTCTAATGAAGGGAAATCCGTCTCGTAGGTGATGCCTCGCTCACAAACTCACTCACTTCTCTGGAACACTGTAGAATAGTTGCCGATCTGGCTCTGTATTTTCATGGACGATGTTCTTCTGAAATATCAACAATTGTTCCTGCTTTGGCAGTCCCCGCGAGATTAACCCATCGAGTTGAGGCTTCGCACCCCTTCGTGGTCACTTAACAGACCTGCAGAACATCTCTTTCCAAAGACTCATTCATCCAACGTACAGCGAGGCTCTGGAACACATTGCCAAGAGAGGTGTTCCCCGAGGCATATAACCTCCAGAAATTTAAGAAGAACACCAATTCCTATTTTATTTTTCTATTTCCCTTGGTTCTCGCACGATGTTCTTTGAACATAACAGGATATCCCTCTTTGTGGGAACCAGAACATAAAAATAAACAGGGTGATTATAGTTCCGCTATATACAATTCAGGAAGACATATTCATGATAATCTGCCAATGCACGTCGATTGATATTTTTTCAGGCTTCATATTTAGGCATAATAAACAATCAGATTTTTCTCAATATTCAGGAGATTGTGTCACTGTGGCAGGGACTCCAATACTTGTTCGTGGAAGCCATTGTGTTACTTATCGCGTACCTAGGGATATTCATAGTGATAGGGTGAGAAGGTTGGTATTGGAATTGTCCTGTTACAACTTGTACCATATCCCATTGAAGACCTCTTGTGGAGAGAAAATTGACAGGAAAAGTGCATAATTGGAGGAAAAACGTCATACCTTCGAATTTGACCTCCGAAACATAATTAATAGAGAATAAACATAATATAATACTACGAAAAATTGAATATTATATCTATTATGCAGAAAAATGCATCTTCAATACACAGATAACTATTTGATCGACAAAACAATCATTTCAAGCTTCTGATCTCGTAAAATTTTGATACATTCATTCATTGATTGATGATAAAATAAATGGTTAGGCATGCTTTGGATGGTATGGAGGAAAGGTGGATATATGTATGGTGAAAAAGCTCCCTCTTACAAAACCCTAGAAATTTTTGTAGACCTCTGGCCTACTTGATTATGTCGAATTCTATCACCGTAGTAAGGCCGCGCAAAACTAACGCTATATTGCGCGGTTCCCGAAGTGATCTTGCTACACAATGGTTCTATTGTTTTGTTGTTTACATTTACGTATATTAATTCGTAATTTGAAAACATTGAGAAAAAGTGATTGATTTAATGAAAAAGACGTGATATTTTCATTATATCTGTGAAGTATATGTGGCACGATGTTCCCTACGCCATCTACAGTCAATCCGGTGCGGCCTTGCTACGGTGTTTCGCGGTCTACACGTTTTGGATAGAAACAATTGACAAGTGGTTACACCAGTCTATTTTCATCATGTATGGAGGGGTTCTGGAAGCCGAGAATTTGTTTGAGATTCAAACTATAGCATATTTACATCGAAAAAAAAAAAGTCGGTATTGAATACCATTAATACCAATCGTTTAGTGAAATATAGACGCCAGTCACTACATTCATCGAATAATACCACTACAAAATTGTATAATACTATATCATATGGAATATTACCACTTCAAAATAGTATGATTCTTATAGTATAGTATGATATAATTTTGTTGTCGTATTATTCGATGATTGTAGTGACTGACGCCTATTTTACTAAACGTTTGGTATTCAGTACCGACTATTTCTCTGAGTGTAAGCTGCACCACCTGTGTATTCTCTTCTCGAATCAAAATTTAAGAAATCCACTCATTTTTTTATCGATAAAATTAATATCATCAGCATGTTGAGAATATCTGTTAAAATTTTGCATGAAGATATCATATAGATACATGACGTTTTTTATAAGGAATTATCTATTTTCCGTGAAAGGAATCATTTGAAAAAAAAATAATCATAGGTGAATGTTGAAATTTTTATACTCACAATTTGGGATTCCAGCCATATGCATGTGACATATTCCTATAAAAAAGAAATTTTTTTGAAATGCTTTATTCCACAGGGTGACTTCGGACCTGCAGCGATAAATAAAATGGGATAGTGTTGTATGATTCAGAATTACAAAACAAATCACAAGAAACCATTTTTAAAAGCAATCGAGATCACAGTTCACAACTATTATGTAATCGAATAACTTATTATTGCATGTCGGCTCACCAAGAGCAAAACTTTCGGAATTTTTGTTGAACGCAAATTTAAGAATTCAGGCGTATTATGAATACGTATGATATTTTTTCCTGATTATTATATATTATATTGTGTGGAAAACAATGTGAGAATAAAATCCGTATCTCTATAAAACAAAAATGTATTTAAAAAAATCCTCGGACACGTCGATTCATTTGGTTGGAAATCTGCTTTTTGACTAAAAACATTTTGGACCACCATCAACCTCCTATACCTCACCGATCAACCCCTTCAAAAATTTTTCGTAAGTTATAGAGTTATTCCAACTCTATATACAACGGTCTTATTTTCTCAAATTCGGTTGAGGTATATCCTCAATAGAACAGTTACAAGAATGAAAATTTATTAGATTTTTTGTCTGAATTTATGGGATATGGTAGGTGCTGTTCTAATGTATTACTTTTACAGCTAATTTACCTATACATTTAAATTCAATATATCGTACAGCATGTCTGTCTACGCGGCTATGTACAATGGAAAATGAATGTTTATATTATATTTACATTCTACATACATTCTACATATGCGTAGATGTACATTCGGTATAATAAAACAATACACTATTCAATTAAAATACTTAATCTTTGACAAAGTATACAAGACATCTATTCAAAGTGTACTAGACATTTATTTATCATATACAGATCTCATTATAATGCTAAGACGCAATTTCTTCAAAATCGAACCTCTCAATTTGTCCGTGTTTGAATATATTTCTGTCTTTATTCGATTTATTGGTAATTCCAATTGGTATATGAATACTATTAATATCAATGTGAGTTTTAGTTTGGAATTCCTTCAATATTTTGACAAATTTAAAAATATCCGGATGAGGTGCATACAAACTTTTAGTTGAATCAGAAAGAAAGGATTCACAGCAATTTGTTGTTCTGTAACTACTAGCTCCTGCACGAGCCCAAATTTGGGAAGGAAATTCAGAATCCTCGTCTATATAATTATAAACAAGATAATCAAAATAATTCCTCAATCTTTCGTCATTCGTCAACATCTGATCCCCCACTGTTTCTGGCTCTAAAAATGTCAAGACAAGTGTCCAATGCAAAATACTCCCAATAAGTGAATAATTGTTTTTGTATCCGGACATCAACCCTAAACTTTGGATTTTCCTAATCCAAGATTGACTTAGATGAGATCTGGATCCTATCATTTTTGTTTCTGGCCACATAAATCTCGTGGATAGATGAATAGAGTTTTCAAAATCCGATGCAACTTCAACAGGTTCAAAATTGATATCCCAGTTTTACACATTCTTGGCTTACGATTTCGAAACATTCGTTATGATAGGGGGTGTTCCGATAATGAGCAGGGACAGTATGTCATTGATAACCGGCTGAGTCTATAGATCAGGCTCATTTTTACCATAGGCGCAACTGGGCAATCATGAATTCCGGGCACTTTTGAGACAGGATCAGACCAGGTAGAATAGGCGCAATGGGGTTATTCCCGCTCAAACGAATTTGAAAGGAAATTGAGAATTGTAAAAAGCTTTGAAATATCTCTGCAAGAAGTATAATAAGACCCATTGTACAATTTGAACATTTTGAAGGGCTTAATTTGAAGGGTAGGAGGTTGTCAGGTGGTTGAGAAATTTTATGTAATAAATACATATTCGAAAATGAAAATCGACCTGTCCAAGGATTTATCAATAGTTATTTATGCAACAAGAGCAAAAAGGTTTCATGTCGAGTGCAATGAACAATTTTTGCACAAGTTGCATACAACATTTTCTCTACGTTCATGCAAAAAGCAAAAAATGATTTATTGAGGTGCGGCACTAGGTACAATTCTGTTAATTGTCAGAATAAATTTTTGACTGACGTTTCTATAACCACAGTTGCAATATAAAAAATGTTTGTCACGATGACAGCACGTTGAAGTAGAATGACAGATAAGTGCAATACATACTTTATTGCACTAAGTGCAATGAAGGATTTTTTTTCCACTAAATATAGTTCGATAAAGTTCTGCTTTTTGCATGTATGTAGAAAAAATAAATTATGTTATGGTCATAGGGATTGTATTCGGAAATGGTGTTTTTCCAGCATTACAGCACTAGCAAATCAACCTACATACAGTATGTGATTTTTCTGGTAGGTTCTCCTTTCGTCTAGAAATTATTGTAGGTTGTAAGGGAATTCTGGATTATTCCTCCGTTTTTTTTTCTGTTATAAGTATCCTATACTATATTATACCACTTGGGGCTGAGGTGAACCTTCACTCATCATGCAACAAATACACTTGTTTGCACTAGTTACACAAATAACTATTTAACTATTTGAAAAAATCAGTCCTCGATCTACGAAGTAGCATATTGCGCACTTTTTTTTTCGCTTGGAGAGCACGAAAGGGAATACCTATAATGTTCTAGGACCATCGTGCGTGACATTCATTATTCCTCAAGAAGTTTTATACAATTTGATATATTAGGAAAGAAATTACGGAGAATGAAGTTTGTCCTTAGTAAATTGCACTAGCCGCAATATTGGAATTGACTCAAAAAGCAGATGAATATGGTTTTATAAAAATGACGTTATAGTTTAATTGTTTCATTTCATTGTAGAACTATTTTAAGAAACACTATAACATTCATGGTTTTATAAAAGACTCCTGAAGAAATTTTGAAATAATAATTAGTAAAATCGATCGAAAAAATGTTGTTTGGTCAATGTGCAAAGAGCATCGATATTAATTTGTTGCAAAAAAAGTCAATTATTTGATTTTGTTCTTTCATCTTCTATTACTCATTCTATTTATCGCTTCAATTTATGGAACACCATGTATGATTTCAAATTCTCATATGTTACCAATATTTACCTTTGATTTGTCTTCTTCTTCAAAATGTCCTTCTCTCATGCTTGATATTGTAGCTTCGGGTATTCCTGTTTTTTTGACACAAGTATTGTGTAACACCGTTGCCAGTTTCGAAAGGTTTTCTCCAAGGTCCTGAAAAGGAAACGTTCACTTTATATATTGCCACTGCTTTGCTCCTAGTTCTCATTAATTTTTGTTTTTCTCAATAGTCGTTACCAACTCTATTATCTAATCTGTAGAATAATTTCGAAATTTCAAAATAATATATCTTGATATTGTGATCATATTTGTGGAAGGTAATCGATATTCAATTTCTGAAACGCATCAACAATGGCATTTTCAATGGTTTCAGACAAACATATCCTGAACCTGTGAGTGGCGAATGTGGTATTCTCACCCGATATTTGCCTATATTCGAGGGGTCCGTGAAGAAAAAGAGGTCAATCCCTTAACTGTATACAGGATGAGGCAAAAGTATGGAAACAGTTTAACATATCATCTGTAACCGTTCTTTAGATTTTTTCCGAATATATGCCTAGGTGATATCAAAACATGCAGGATTTGATAACGTTATCGCCAATGTTGCCACTTTTCCAGTAATTCCGGAATTATTATTACCTTCCTCATTTTGAATAGAATTTTCAGATTCTCCCTGAAAAGCTGATCTCATCGATCTATCATACTTGGAATCTATAGAAAATGATTACAGAGATATTGGGTGTTTTGAATCGAGATTTATTTATTTATTTATTTATTTATTTCAAGTTCGGGATACAAACAGGTAAAACCCATACAAGCATCCACTAATAGTTACAATAACAATAGATCCTTCGGTAGTCTAAGAGGTACAGGAATAAACTGAATTGTATTCATTATAAGATTAAAAATTGAAAATATGTCTTACAGTTATTTTGAAAGAATTAAATGTCATGGAGAATATATCTAAATTATTACAATATTTGTTGAAACAGTAACACATTCTGGTGATTGGAGAATTTTTTCCCAAATTTGTGTTGTAACTAGGACTAGTAAGTAATTGTCTATTTCTAGTATATCTTTGAGGAACATGATAAAAAATAATAGACACTAAATTAGGAGAATCGTAACAATTTTTTATGATTTTGTACATAAAGAGTAAATCCGTAATTATTCGTCGTTGTTCAAGAAGCTGTATTTTATAAAGAGAACGAATTTCACTGATGCCAACAGTTATGTAAACCTTCGTTATTTTGAAGTGGAGAAACCTTACAAATCTATTCTGGAGTCTTTCTAATCGTAATTTATAAACATTATAATGTGGGTTCCATACTACACTGGCGAAATTTAGTTTGCTGTGAACAAACGCAAAATAAACAGATTTGATAGCTGCCTCATTATCAAAGTCCTTGCATGTTCTGCAAAAAAATCCCAAAGCTCTATTACAAGAATTAAGTAGGTACTCAAAATGTGGGTTGAAAGTCATTTTTGTATCGAAGTATACACCAAGATCCTTGATTCGGTCCGTTCTTTTGACTATACTATCATTCAGTAGATATTGGAATTCTATAGGGACAATGTTTTTACTGAAAGATATACTCGCACATTTGCTGACATTGAGTTTCATTTTGTTACGGTTACAATATTCAGTGAACCTATTTAGATCTTCTTGAATCTTTGAGCAGTCCCTAATTGTCAGCACTTTTCTGAATATCTTCAAATCGTCAGCATATAACAGTATCTGTGAATTTTTGAAACAGCTGTTCAGATCGTTAATAAACACTGAAAACAGTAAAGGACCCAGATGTGAGCCCTGAGGGACTCCTGAAGTTACCACGAAAGAGGCAGACCTATATCCATTTATGTTCACAAGTTGACTTCGATTATAAAGATATGACGAGAGCCATCTCAGGAGATTTTCCTGTATACCAATTCCAGAAAGTTTCGATATAAGGAGGTTGTGATCGACTTTATCGAACGCTTTGCTGAAATCAGTATACAGTGAATCCACCTGCGCTTGATTGTCTAAGGCATTCGAGATGTATTCAGAATATATAACCAAGTTTGTTTCAATCCCTCGTTTGGAGAAAAATCCGTGTTGGCATTCTAAAATCGATGATTTAAGACTATGAAACATAATGTCATAAATTAAGCTTTCAAATAATTTGCTGAATATGGATAATTTGGAGATACCGCGATAATTATTCACAAAGTTTCTATTGCCAGAATTTTTGTATATTGGAACCAAAAGAGCAGTTTTCCAGGCATCTGGGAAGGTACCAGACTGCATGGATTTGTTGAAAATAACACAGAGTGGAAAGCATAAACTGGGAGCACAGTATCTAACAAAATATGAGGGATAGCCGTCTATTCCGGCTCCCTTGTTAACATCTAAAGAGTTAATTTTAGCGAGTATCATTTCTGGAGTGAATTCTATTGAGTTCAGTAGATTATTTGTGCTGGATTGAGGAGAAAAATGATGGGTTTGCTGATGGGGCTCGTATACGCTTCGAAAATAGGTAGCGAATAAATCACATATTTGTTTGCCGTTTTCAGCGGATGTGTCGTTGTAAGACATTTTATTAGGAATACCAACCTCATTTTTGCAACAATTTATATATTTCCAGAATTTTTTGGGATATGTTATAATTTCATTTTGAATATTGTTTGTGTACATTTTGTAGTCATTAGATATAAGATTTTTACTTCTGCGTCTCAGAAGTTTGAATTCTTCATAATAGTATTGATTATTATATTTTTTCCACTTTTTGTGCATCTGATTTTTTTGTTTTATACATTTTATTGTATCGATAGAAAAGTATACAGGAAATTTTTTATTTTTTATGGTTACTTTAGGAACATGCAGAATGGTACCTTCCTGTAAAATTTTGTAGAATACAGAAATTCCTTGATCAACTGATAAGTTAGAGAGCTGCTCGTCCCAATCATAATTGAGAAAAAAATTGTTGAGCTCGTTGTAGTTACCTTTTCTGAAATTATAAAAAATTTGATCTGTTTTGTCAATAACTTTGATATTGAGACAACTAATGTAAAACTCAATGGGTGGATGATAAGAATCAGGATATACTAAGGGAATGTCACTCTTTTCTAATTTTGATAAGTGAATTTTAGTGCAAAAAACCAAATCTAATATTCTATCATCTACGTTTATTATATCATTGTGCTGTGAAAATTCACCAAATGTTAAGAGATCGATCAATGAAGAGTTAGAGTTATCAGTGTTCGTTGGAATAAAGAAAGTTTTACATTCACTGGGAATCCAACTAATGTGTGGAAAATTGAAATCACCAAATATGATGATAGGTTCACCTGTGAGTTCATCGAGGTTTGCTTGTAGTTTTGAAGTGAAACATAATCTGGCATAGTCATCCCTGGGAGGAAGATAAACGCAGCATACATGGATCTTCAAATTGTTGTCATTGTGGATGGTTATCCATAAGTCTTCTGCGTCGCTCTGAAAGTGCTCTCGAAGCGTAACACCAATTGTATTTTTAACACCTATTAGTACACCTCCCCCGGATTTTTTGTTATCGGCACACGGAGCACTTTCGCGGTCGCGGCGATAAACATTATAATGTGATGTTTCCAAAACTTCAGAATCAAAGATGTCACCTGAAAGATTGGTTTCAGTTATCAAGTAGAGATCAGCGTTGATATTGAAAGTATTAATTTTGAATTCGGTTATCTTGGAACGCAAACCATTTACGTTCTGTCCATAAATCAACAACTTATCCATTGGAAAAACTATCATATATGATGTAGTCAATTATCGCAATCTTCACGGTTACATTTTGTTGATAAATTCGTGATTTTTTATAGCAAGTATCTTGGACGAATCGGATTTTCTACAGAGGATGGCACCATTCTTCACCCAAACATACTTGTATTGTTTGTTTTTTGCCGTTAGCCTCACGTCTTTATATAAAAGTTTGTTGGCTAACGTAAGATGCTCATTTATATAGAAAGCATCTGAGACACCATCGAGATTCATTTTTGGAGAGCTATCATTTCCCATACGTTTGGCTTTGGCAGCCATCAGGAAGCGCTCCTTTTCCCTTCTTGATGTAAATTTCACTATTATATTCTTTATTTTATTATTCGGATTATTATGATTCACTTGAACCCTGTGAGCATAGTCTATGGTAGCAGGATTAATTCTACAGTCAATGTGCACTCCTATTTTTTCAATGATATTATATATGTCTTCATTACTTTTTTCAGGAATACCCTGTATCTCAATATTATTCAAACGAGAAACCTGCTCCAGATCGTTCAACTTGGACTGTAGACTATCAATATCGCTTTTCATTTTCCTATTTTCGTTTGCCAATTGATCAGTTTTTTTGACATATTCCTTTAGTATATGGAAATTTCATTTTCAAAATCAGAGATTTTGTTGCTACAAAAATAAATTGACTGAAGAACCGTATCTTGTTGTTCTCGAATTTGTCTCAGCTCCAGGCGGATTTCCTCCAACTATACGATTTTTTTGTGTCGAAATCATTCATTTTTGGTTAAAACGGATCACATGTCCGTCCTTAACTGATGATTTGCTTTCTACTGACTTTTTTAATTGAAAAAAATACAGGATGGTTCCAGATTCAGAATTCTGATCTTCATGTATCTGTTCCAATCAAATGTCAGTAGATAGTAAATCAAAAGCTGAGAAAGAGTCATTGAACCTGTTTCGAGCAATAATGAATGGTTTCGACACAAAAATATCCTAAAGTTGAAAAAACTAGGTTTGACCACCCTATATCTCGGTAATCATTCCCGCTGGACCCCAAGTGTGATCGATCTATGAAATCAGCTTCTGAGGAAGAATATAAAAATTCAATGAAATACAGGGTATTCTATTTAGAACGAGGAAGTTAAATTCAATTCCGGAAGAACTGAAGAAGTGGCAACAAACGGTTACTGAGATATTCACCTGTTTCCATACTCTTGCCTAACCCAAATATACGTTTTCAAGACGTGTATTCTTGGAACAGAAATAATATGACGTTACTCAAGCCTATTTTTTTCTGAGATCAATGTTCGCCTTACTGGACGTCAGAGTTTGAAATTCGAATCAGTTTTTTTCAATAATTCGACTATTCAATAGGATATCGATTTCAACTCGAATGTATGAATGAAGAGAGATAAATTGAGAATTTGAAATTATATTTGAATAGTCATTTACCGTAAGGGTTCTTCAATGTCAAGCAAGACAGTTGGAATGGTCTTATTCTTCTTAACTAAAATACAACGATCACCTTGCCTAGACCAATTATTGCATAAACCATAAAAAAATATTGTGATCCGAAAACATCAACAGTAGTTAACCGTAAAGTCATATCCACGAAGTATATTTTTCCAAATCAAGGGTTGGAGGAACATGCTTCGAGCATATACAGGGTGTTTCAAAAAATCCTAACCCTATCCTAATCCTAGGTAGAATATTGCAAAATAAGTTGGGTTCGCTCTTTGAAAAAATGTCGTAACGGCATTCGTTATCATGATAGAAGGTGTTGAAAAAATTATTTTTTTACACATTTTTCACGATTATTCCGAAACTACTGGCAACATTGCAATGAAATTTCGTATGGATGTTTCTTGAAATCTGACACATCGCATGAATTTGTTTTTATATCTGACTCTCATAGAGGGCGCTAGTTACACGGTTCGTACCGAGTAGTTTTGAACATAACTTTTTTGTCCTCCTGGTGAAACTCGATACTATGGCCCGTGTTCGGAATATTTCGATTTGAAAATAATGGAGTAGTAATGATGCTGGTATAAAATGAATTTTATTGAGATTAATTACCTATTTATTCAGGTTCAAAAACAATAAAATTTTATTCCTGTGCTGAAGTTATTGATGGAACAAAGAATCATAAGTAGGAAATTAAGAGATATTTGACTAGAAACATAAAATATTGAATCAGTTAGAGTAAGTGCTAAGTGTTCAAAATGTCCTACGTTACGAGGAATACACGATTCTTTTTTTAAGAATATATTATTCTTCTGAACAGTTGAGGATCAGCTGTTAGGTCATTTAAGTGATGTTCCATTATGTCTCACAACTCTTGACGTGAATTTACCTATGTAGCATAGACTTTCTGCTCAAGATACAACAAAACTGTGTAATCCATGTTCTTAGTTAAATCTGTTTCGATGTTATTCTTGTGATTCAATGTTAAATCAATGAGTTTTGCATCAGAAATGTATTGTTGTTTTCGGTTTTCAATTAATAGTTGATAATTTTTCATAATACTCACTCTAATACATATAGCTTTATACCAGCAACAGTTACCACTTCATCATTTTCAAATCGAAATATTCCGAAAACGGAACAAAGTATCGAGTTTCACCAAGAGTACCTTCTTGGTGTGGAATTGAATGATGTTCAATTCCACATCAAATTTGGATTAAAAAATCTAACCTCAAAAAAGTTATGTTCAAAACTACTCGGTACGAACCGTGTAACTAGCGCCCTCTATGAGAGTCAGATATAAAAACAAATGCATGCGATGTCTCAGATTCCAAGAAACATCCATACAAAATTTCATCACAATGTTGCCAGTAGTTTCGACATAATCGTAGAAAATTTGTAAAAAAATCATTTTTTCAACACCTTGTATCTTGATAACGGATGCTGTTACGAAATTTTTTTACTGAGTAAACCCAACTTATTTTGCAGTGTTTTACCTACCCTACCAAGGGAGTTAGGTTTTTTGAATCACCCTGTATATGCCATCATCAGGCTCACAAGAACAAGAAAATATCACCTACAAGGATATTGAAGATGGAATGACTGAAAATACTCAAAAAATCTCACAATTAACAATTGTTGAAGTTTTCATACTTCATTATGTGGGGCGAGATAACTAATACGAAAAATATTTTCGGGCCTTACGAACAAGTCGCTTTTTCAGCTTTCTCCCAAAAGCTTATATTTTGGAAAAAAACATAGACCAAGTGAATGGGGGGACATCTGTGGGGATTATGCACAAGATCAAGCACAAAGATAGAAAACCAACTGATATGAAACTCACAGATTTCTGCGGGAAAGTAAAGAAAATAACTCAACACCAGGTGAAGTCAATAGGAATCAGCCCAGATGATCAAACCATAGATGAAACCAAAAATTCATATCAGAACACTGAACTTGAGTGTATTTATAATAACGACTCATTTTTTTGAAATAATTCTGGAATTTCGATGACAAATCTCATGAATCAATGAAGACAAACTAATGAGTTAAAAAATGGGAGGTCATCAATAAAGTGGATAGGGATATAGTAATATTGGGGTCGATTTCGAAAATTTACAAAATGTTCAGTTTTGTACCCTCTTGGTCATTTTATGCATCACATATTATGATGCCAAATGAAACTTAGTACGTACGCGGTACGTTTCAAGCAATTCCTCACTCAACATCAAAATTGATTGATTCGCTAAAAAATATAATGATTCCAAAACAGCATTTTTTCGAGTAATGATGCTGCTTGATGCTACCTATTATATTATTTCTCACTGTACTCACCTCAAGTTTCAAAGATGCAGATGAAAATTCCACTGCTATAAAGAATAGAATTATATACACACTTGACTTGTACATATTCGAATATATATATTGTTATCCTATTATAATGATTCGAAGGACTATACTGAATTGAATGATTCCCGTAGTTTTATTACCTTTATATATATTTCAATCCCAATCGCCTCAGAGAGCAGGACCGTATTTGATAGAAAAGTTGACTTTTTTTAAGGAGACATCAATCTATTTCCATGTTCCGCTACCGAAAATCTCATAAATTAAAACGCAATAATAATTATACTGATCATAATAATAACAATAATAGACAGACATTGAATATTCATATGTAAAATACATTTTTCATCAATGTCTGAAGAAGAAAATGATGCCGTAAGTTCCATAGAGTGAACTAACCCCTGTCGAATTTCGATGATTTTATTATCTAAGTCATTCTGAACAAAATGTTGCACGGAATAATAATGAATTTTTTGCCGAATTTCATGGTGATCCTTTCATGAATAAGATACGATACACAAAGTTATCAACATCGCATCCAAAGCCATCCAGGAACATAAAAAATTATTACCTTCTGTTGGTATAGAATAATACAGGAAACGATAATATTTATATATCAGATATCGGCGGTAGTGCACGATACGTAAATGAGTTTCTAAACTATATCTCTGCAATCTTGAGCTTTACCGGTTTTCTTATAATATTTTTTTCTACTCACATAACTAAAATGGCATTTAGCGTACGGATATGTACCACACTCTAAATGATCGATTAATCACGGATTGAAGATATGTGATTTATTCAAAATATTAAACACGTTACAATGGTAAAAGAGTTTCTCTGCAACCGATACAAAATTCGGCCATTTCAGTACCGAAATTTGCTCTTGAATTGACGTATCTATTACTGATAGAAAAATTAGTATGTTGCTAGGCAACATATTCAGTTCCTTGGAGCTGATGTTGAACTTCAGTTCCTAGGAATTGAAATAGATGTACCAGACGTCATCAAGAAGAAACATTGTTACAGTTGATTATTTGGGACGCATACCTGATTTGTTTCCGATCTCGGCAGATTTGACATTTCATACCCATGCTGGAGATATGAATACACCTTATTATAGTTAAGTATAGGAATTATGAACATCTCAGTCAAGTATTTTTGTTTTGATCAGGAAAGCCTTCAAGATTCAGATACTTGCTTGTTCTGAATTTCATTCGTTAAGTATTCTCGGGATCGATAACTTTGTTTTGAATATTCACAACAAGCAATAGTTTCTTGTCTCAAACAACGATATTGTTTACCTCCATCTGATTATCAAGTCAAACACAGTGTAGTTTGGAGAGGAATAAATAATCGATATTCTAATACCACGCACTGGTGCGGTATTCGCCACCAGAGCACCTGGTCCATACACAAATATGTCACTCTGTGATTGTATTTATATTGAATGAACTACAGTTCGAACATCCTTGAAAATTGAATAATCCTGCTGTTGATGCAGGTAGAATATTCTCACCACACGGATTATTGATCTGTTGCATTGCATACATATTATGGCACGGCATTGGTGATTACTTCACATATTTATTTGAGTTAAGTGTTTCGGTTGCAGAAAAAATAGCATGTTTCTTTAGGAACTAAAGTGACTCTGTTTGACTCGCAAACTTTGCTTTTGCTCGGCTTCGCTAAACGCTCCGCCTCGCAAATGCAAAATTCGCATGTCAAACAAAGTGTCACTTTTGATCCAAATAAAAGAATCTACTATTTTTTAACACACTTTCAGTCGTTTCAGTGCTCTCCTATCCGGTCTGTCAATTGTAAGAACTGCCAAATGTCAATTTCGAATTGTGTTGCAATCTGAATTATTGAAACAATTTTCGCTTAAGTATCAGAATTCCTCATCAAAAATGTATGCGAAATGTAGACGAAAGTGAAATCGAAAAAAATGTTTCAGGTAGGTATTTCCAAGAACTCTAGGTAAAAATTAAGCACTCATCTTTGTGAGCAATTGTTATGTATGGTAAGTATGACAATAAACGTGAAGCACAATATTCATGTGAGCAGAATTATGCAATCAGAATATGGATACAAACCCGATAAATCGAAAACTCTGACACCTTATAGCGAATCGAAAAGTTTTTATCTACTATTTCACATGAAATTCTATTCACGAAGGTCAGTAAACAAGCCATTTCAATAGAAATTCATCTATCCTATGGACTCGACAACTACAACAAAAATAACTCATACGTGTCTCGTTACTCACTTCCATGCAGTTGCATAGTATTATATGTATTATTTTCTCAATTATAATTCCCTTTGAATTATTTTGTAGGTTAGCATTCGGTTATCAACTAATTTTCATAATGAGTTCGTAGAAAAAGTATAGTATGTAACGCTCTGCTGCGCGCGTGTTCAGAATTCTCGTTACTAAAATGACGTTCATAACACTTTCTACATAATATATACTATTAGTAGTATATACGGACTTTCATCTAATGTAAGGTTTTAAAGTTACAAGAAATTATTTTATATATCTAGAGAGGCTTATATGGTCACTTACTTATGCTACTATCAAAGATCAAGTTGATAACGTTGTCTTTTCTTTATACACCAGGTGAACATGAAATTCGAAAATAGTTTCGTAATTGAAATGCGACACATCAATATTTTTCTTCAATATTATGGAGTGCACGAGAGGAAATTCCTATTATTTTCGCAAAACAACGTGCGCGTACCTATTGGAAGGATAGAGACAGAAGATTGGTACTGGAATTTTTTTGAACTTTTGAAAGTATACTCATCAGGCAGAGAATTCTGGAGCTCTGTGACTCACCTCGTGCATGGTTGACGACAAAAAGATGTTCTATGTGCTGCCTGTTAGCCTTCTGTTATTTGTTAGTGATGAACTGTTAGCCGAGATCATCATTTCCCGTGGCAGAACCTATAGAAAAGTGAAAAGTCGCTGTTTTTCCTGCGGTGTTCCATCAATGATGTCCAGGAATGAGTGAATGTGGCATCACCAGTCCGGGCTCGTATCTGATTGGAATCTAAGTTTATCATTATATCTTCATAATAGCGACACACCTTGATGAATTTTGATATGGTTCTGAGAGGGTTTTGGAATCAGTTATAGAATGCTGGGTATTTTTATTATTTTATCTTCCGTAGGTTGATGAATCAATCAGATTGCAAAATACATTATCGTGAGGTACGAACTTTGTACAACCTTATGAAGTTCATCCGATGGTCCAAGAGGTTAGATAAATCATAATCAACTAACCTGACACTAATAGTTTATCTTCTGTAGTCTATGCTAATACCCTAACCTGAACGTATGGTATAGTTTAGGCAAAGTCAGTTGAACAGATCATCAAACGAATGTCGGGCTGCGCTGCCACACACAATGAACTATCAAAGGGACCGACGGCTTGCGGTGATGTGTTTTTCCAACTGACTGTGCATAAACTATACAATCAGAGGAGTCGGTAGTGAATAAACGTTTAGTAAAATAGGCGTCAGTCACTACATTCATTGAATAGTACCACAACATAATTGTATCATAGTATACTATGACAGATTGAAGAAACAAAAATTATAAATAAAATATTGAGAAATATTGATTCATACGGATTCTTTAGAATTGTGATATCTTGACTATTCTTATCCCGGTCCTGGTTATTCATCAATGAAAAAAAAAAAATAAGCACCCAGTCTAATTTAAACAAAGGATGATTCTAAATCAATTTGAAAAAAACATCATTATCTCCACCTATGCAATGATAATGAGCATTATTTGATTTTTTATTATCCACATGCTTGTTATCCAAATGAATAGTTTATCTATGATTTGAAATTGTTATTCATCGCACAGATAGGCATTGATATCTCGAAAAATTCAACTGTTAATCATTTAATGATTCTTGTTCAAGACACTTCACTGCCTTACTCAACCAATCTTTTCAGAAGGAGATTGAAAGTTTCATGAAATGCTTTCCACTTTTTTCATAGATTAACGACTCCCTTGTTTGCACTCTCGAAATGTAGATTCACTCATTTCTTAGACTTATATACATATACATGTTTGATATGGCGAATGTGCCATAATAAAAAAAACTAATAAACGATTCATCATTCCAGATTTTTTTGGTTTTTCTATCCTCGTTTCTATGAAATAGAAATATAAATATTATTTCAGTGTAGTAAGGACAAATCAGATGATTTGCCCCAAAATGTCACTGCGTTCAAAGATTTTTTTTATCAGAGGGCCAAAAAAAAAATTCACCATCTTGTCAGTGACAATTTGTATTGAAAAAAGTTTGGAGAAGAGAAATAAAGGTATACAGAAAAATATCAGATTTTCACTTAGCTTTGGACGTTTCGGGAAGGAATCTGCTCCCGTTCCCAACATAAAAAATAGATATTTGAATAGCAATTTCTCATTTGTCTCGATACTTTACAGTTCTCAGTGACGATTGGTGATGTTGGCAATCAAACAGTTACATGATGTTTTCATTCATTAATCTCGAATTTAACATTTCTGTTTTTTCAGATTTCAGTAGTGAATACCATTTTCTTTTTATATCAACTGAACAGGAAGCAATGTAATTGTCTCCCTTCAGAAGAATGCAAGCAGATCCCTTGACTTTTCTCTTCTGATTGTTATCTTATTTTTCAATGATTTTAATACCATTCCATTCTACCATATGTTGTCCATCTTCAGTGAGGATAAGTTCAGCTAGTTTCGAAATGTCGATGTGTCTTTTTTTTTACTTATGTTCCTTCGTCCTTACTGAAAAAGGTCTCTTGGTTTCACCTGTATAAAACTTTCCACAAACACAAGGTATATACTGTAAATACAATTTTTTGACTATTGTTCTTCATTTTTCGTCTTATTTGTTTGAGTTAGAATCGATCTCATTGTATTTTCAGTTTTGAACACAGCCAGAATTTAATAAATAAACGACTTTCATCTTGCCAGAATACCGATTCAAATTTACGCTACATATTATATATTTTATATCGATCGTCCTATGTATTCGGTACACAAGTATTTGATACATAGGCATCAGTCATTCATTATCTGAAATTATCACACTTTTTTTTCTCAAGAATGTA